CTGAGAGCCGCTTCTGATGGTTCATGATGGAAAACCCGACTGACCCACCTGGCGTTTGGTTTATTGACTTTTAGTTACAGTTATAAAGTGTGCCCAATCTCCAGCCCCAGGAGTGTGAAGCAGACAGAATCACTTACAAAAAAAAAAAAAAAATCGCCGCTGAAGTCTGAGCGATGCCAAACTGGGCCTGGATTCGACCGGGCACCTCCTCGGTGCTCCTCACCTCTCAGCTGGGGGCCCCTCTGTGCATCCAGGGCCAGGTGCCCCTGGTGGGTGCCGCCGTGGCCTCTGCCTGCTCCCAGTCCCCATGGTCGACCTCCGTCACTGTGGCTTCTCATGGGCTGGGGGAGGCTGTCTATGTGCTGGGAGTGGGAGGCACTCGGCTGAGAGGCCCCATTCACCCACACTCAGTGGCCGTGGGATCTGTCCTCTGCCGCCTGTCCACGTGCACTAGGAGAGGTTAGGTCAGCCGGTGGGGAGGACCAGAGAGGGGCGTGGGCGAGAAAGAGTGGGACAGGGAGAGAGAAGCATTGTTTCCCAGGCCAGTTCTGCCCCATTCATGAGTTCCCAGGAATTCTCTTTCCAATTAAGCTGGGTGAGGTATCTGTCGCTTGCTGTGTGAATATTCCGACTCCACCGTACACCCGAGGGCCAGGCTGGGCCCCCTCATCTCCGCAGCCAGCCACGCTCTCGTCTGGTGTGTCCGCAGCCCTCCACCTCACCGACCCATCAGGAAATGATCTTCCCCTCCGCACTGAGGAGAGAGTTGAACTCAGCTCCCCCTGCCCTGCCTTTTCCCCCCCTTCAGGGGGCCTGCACAGCTGGCCTTGGCGTTGCTGGTGGTACACCTGGCGTTCCGTGGCGCTCCCAGAAAGGTGTGACCCCGAGCTTGTCTGCTCGCAGTGCCCAAGGCCTACCCTCAGCCTGGGGCCCCGCCAGCAAGCCTCCAAGCAGAGGCCTGGTGGCTGGGTGTCAGCTGCTGCTCAGGGCTCTGGAGGGCACGTCCTGGTGACCCGATGAGTGTGTGGGATGGGGCTCCTGCAGGAACGGTTTCTCAGAGGACCTTGTGGTGGTCTCCAGGCAGCATCCCAAAGCCCCAGACTCGGTATCTCGGGGACTCGGTGAGGATGCCCACTCTCCTCCACATACCCCATGGGACTCAGGGGTGTTTAGATCCTGCATTCCAAGGGTATATTGCCTTCCGGACCCTCACCTGATGTGTAACTTGGCCAACAATGACACTGGGTTACAGGAAGAGGGGAGCATGTGGGTAGATGCTAGGGACCCACAGGATCATGGGTACGACTTCCGTCTCGCTGTGGGGGTGGCCGCCGGGCCGTTTGGAGAGCCAGAGCAGAGCCGGGCAAGGTTGCAATGAGGACCTTGCCCCCTTGGCCCACTCCCAGCTCCTCCCCTCCCATCTGGCTTCCAGGAGCGTGTCCCCTGTGCAGCTCAGTCTCCTTCCGCGGGCTTGCCCATGGACTTCACCCAGTGTGGGCCCATGTGGCAGAGAACCCACCCATGATGGGTCAAGGCCGTCCATGCTTTCAAATATTAAATCTGTTCAGAATATTAAATAATTTCCTCTTCAATGATCCCAGTAAATTTAATTAGTGCTCTTCTCCCAATAGAGTTGTCTCCTAGTTTCTGAAATGTTGCTTCACAAGGAAGGGGGCTTAGACTCCTATGGTGCGTGCAGCTGGATTGACACCCCGGTTCTTCAGCGGCCGGGTCCCTGTGCCGGGCCGGGTGGCTAGGTGACACAGAGCTCCGTCCGTCCTCTGAGGCCTGTTTGTGAAGCAGCACAGCAAGCACGTGTGGGGGTCTGGGTGGAGTTTGGGTCTCTAGGGCCCTCGGGGGCTGGGAGGGCATAGGAAGCCTGTGGCCTCCATCCCGGGACCTTCCTACTCCCTCAGATGGCTCACTCCAGCGGAAGCCAGCTGCCCAGTCCTGAGCCAGCCCCAAAAGCGTGGATTATTTAGTCTCTTGGAGACTCAGTTTCCTTATCTGTAAACTGGGGACGATAATGTTGACCTCAGCATTCTTTTTTGAAGATTAAATGAGAAAATGCGTGTGAGGTGCCTAGCTCATAGTAGGAATTCAGTAAATGTTATTTATTTTGTTCTAGTCCTCTCATGAGTCATGAGCTTTAAAAATATGTATTTCATAATGGTGAAACTTCCAGAACTTCAGTTCAAAATGATCACCCTGGGTGTAGGCCTTCTGAGCAGAGGCTGAGGGAGGACTGGAGTGTGGCCACGGCAAGGGTCGGAGAGAGCTCCCAGCAGTGTGGCACCAGCAAATCCACGTAAAGCCTGATCTGAAAGGAGCGTCAGGAGGTTGGATCGTGCAGCACATCACTGGACGTTTCCTCCCAGAATAAAGAAGCTGCGTCTTGGTCCCTCCTGTGCAGTGTGTTTTGAGTCTGGCTACCGAGCAACAAATAAAAACAACAGCGGCAAAGACACATCTCCCTGATTAGCCAGTGATTGATTTGCATAATCAGTGCCGTGTCAAGTCAGCTCCCGAGGCGCTCTGTCAGCATCTTGGTCAAAGCACGAGAACCTTCAAACCCTGCAGGTGGCTCCCCACATTTATCAGGGATGCCTTCGATTCTCCATCCCCCTGCGAGCTGGTGCCCAGGAGGGTAAACCGCCTCTATAACACTTCTAATCGAATTGAAAAAAAAAACCACTCCTTGTATTTTTCCTGATTACAAATACAGTTCGGGTCCTACGTGGAAAACTTAGGATAGATGAGAAAATTAAAAAGACAAATGAAAAACCTCCGGATGTGCGTCTACAGAGGGAGTTGCGGCCAGCCCTGGAGGGCATGTCCTTCCAGCCCTTCTGGAGGCTGAGGACATAGAGTTGGCACTTACTGCACATTCTGGTTTTCATAAACCTTTTCATTTGATGGCTCACGAACACTTTGCAGGGGCATTCAATATTCTTTTACAATAGGATTTTTAATGAGTGCACAAATTATTTACCAAGCACCTGCAGCTGGACATTTAACTTATTCTCAGTCTTTTGATACCATAAGCTGCAAATATTCTAGTACATAAATCTTTGGAGATAAATCTTTGCATTTGTTCCTGAGTTTCTCCTTAGGGTAAATTCCTACAAGTGGAATTGCTGAGTTAAAGGTTAAACACAATTTGAAAGCTTTTGATCCAAGTGCCAATCTGCCCTCCAGGAGGATTACCCAGCTTCGGATCCCACCAGCAAGCGTGCGAGAGGGTCATTTCCCAGCAGAAGCACGGGATGCAATCAGCAGTTTCAAAATCCAGCTGGTGGAGAAAACGGAAGTGTGTTTTTGTTTAGATTTGCATGGTTTTGGTGACTGGTGCGATTAGACACTTTCCCACTTTGGGGTCCTTTTAAAGTCTTCTTTTGTGAGTTGCCAGCTGTGGTCTCGTCCTGCACACGTGTCCCCATCTTAGGGGCGTGGGAGACGAAGGTGGCCCTGCTGGCGTGGGAATACGGATGGAAATGTCCATGGAGGATGGTGGGGCTGCTCTGTGGGTGGAATATTTCTTCATGTTTTTCCCACCACGTGGCAATGTCATTTAGCTGTTGATCCATCTGCTTCTCCAACTCGGCACCCAGCGCCCAGACGGCAGGATTGTACCCTTTATATGCCTGTGGTCACTGCCTGATCCAGAGCTGGGCACTGAGAAGGTGCTTGAACAATCTTTGTTGAGTCCACGAATGAAGGAAGACCCTGCATGAGGAATTACTTTCTTTGGGCAGAAGGCAGCTTGGAAGGTCCCCCAAGTGTTGAGGGGTGACTTGTCAAGCCAAGAGGACAAGGACCGTGTGACAGGCCTGTTCAAGAAGCGCTGGTTCTTTGGAGCAAGAATAACGGGAGCAAATTGCATTTTATTCACCTAACTTCAAAAAGCACGGGGGTGGGGGGACAGGGAGTGGCTGCCTCAGGGGCACAAGGTCTCCTTCGGGTTGATGGAAATGTTTTGGAACTGGATAGGGTGATGGTTGCACGACCTTTTGAATGTTCTAGATGCTAGTGAATTGTACGCTTTAAAATGGTTAACTCCGTGTTATGTGAATGTTACCTCAATTAAAAAAAAAAAAAAAAGCACAAGGCTGTCCTCGCTGGCCCTGCTCCTAGCCACTGCAGCCTGGTAAGTTGTGAGAGCCTGGGGCTCTGTCAGCTTGTGATGGAGCAGGAAACACACCCGCTTAGGGCTTGCTCTGTTAGCCCTGAGGTCACGGATCAGCATGGGTCTGGCTGTCCAGGGGAGTTTGTAGGGGCAAATGAACTGGGTCTGCAGAAAGTTGAGTAGGGAGCACATCTGGGCCAAGGGTCAGCACGGGGTCCAAAGCGCTTGGCCAGGGTTGGTCATCCCTTGGCCTGTCCTTGTCTGGGGGTGGGGCTGCAGAGGACCCTCCTAGTGGGTGGGATGGGGATGGGCACTGTGGCCTGGCCATGGAGGGGTCAACGTGTTCTTTTTGGAGCTGGGCAGGGGGAGGTAGGTCTGCAGGGGGCTTCTAAATGCTCAAGCAGCCCTGTTCTTGGGGACTAGGCATAGCAGGGACTCTCGAGCAGGGGCGGACACGAGAACAAGGTTCTGTCAGTGGCTCCACCAGCTCTGGGGGGAGAAATGGTCTCAGGTGGCGGGTGGGGATGCAGGGGTGCAGGAGGCCTGGTGGAGAGGCTCGTTCGCAGAGGGTGAATCCAGGGAGGCTTCTGGTCCACTGAGCCCTGACTGGGACCCCTCCCCATCTCCTTGGCCCCCACATCCTACCCCCGTCACACTCCTCTGAACTAAAAGCTATAGAATGCCACGTGTTCCTCCAATTCCACGGCACCCTGCTTCCGTTCACTTCAGTGAACTATTTCCCACTAACAGTTCATTAGCTTGCTTTTTGCCTTGAACAACCACAACAATGCAAGCAGTTTGTAGCCCCCCCCAGCACCCCTCTGTTCCCCAAGTTGGGTTTTCTTCTGGTGGTAACGGAAGCTCTCGGCCGTACCTGGACGCCACGGCTGCCCCGTCCTTGCACGTTTGGGTGCGTGAGAGCGAGCCCCACGCCTGTCTACCCATCTCATTCATAAATCGAAAGCACGTGTCCACACGAATGTTGATGGCAGCTGTATTGGCGATAGCCCCAAACCGGACATCACTCAGATGTACGTCCATGATGGGGGAGCCGATAGTGGTGTGTCCACATGCAGGAACACCACTCAGCAGTGACGAGGAGTGAGGTTCGGGTACACAGGGCAGCATGCTCGCGTCTCTGGGGAATTACGCTATGTGGAAGGAGCCAGCCCAGGAAAAGAGTCTGCTGGATAATGTTATTTATGCAAAATTCCAGCAAACAGGTCAGTAGGTGGCTGGCGGTGGGGGGCGGTGGGTGCAGGGAGGGGTAGGAGAGAGAGAGATCACAAGGTGCAGGGGGAAGCTTTCTGGCTGGTGGCTGCGTTCACTATGGATTGTGGGCACATCTACACATCAGACTTAGAAACTCCACCCTTTAAACGCGTGTGCTTTGCTGTATGTCAGCGATAGCTCTCTAAGGGGTGAGGGGAGCTCCTGGGGGGGTCTCTTTCTCAGGGGCACTCATCCCGTTCATGAGGCTCATGACCTAATCTCCTCCCAAGGGCCCCGCCGCCTGACACCATCCCCTTGGCAGTTAGGATTCAACCTGTACGTTTGGGGGGGGACACACATTTCTTCCACTGCAGCGTGTAACTACTCAGGGCCAGCGTCTGTGCCATCTTCCTCCACATGCCGAGATGTCTGTCATGGCATTGGGCCCTCCCAGAGGGCACCCACGGAGCTGGACACACATGCTGAGCGGGGCCCCATGCTGGACACCTGGACACGGTGAGCTCCCTGGAGACCCACAGCAGGTGGCTGTTTGCTGGACGTGTGCCCGCTGGCTGGAGGCTTCTGGATCTGGGGTGGTGTGCGTGCATCCGTACGCTCTCGCCCTCCATCGTGGGCGACGTCGTGGTTCTGCGGGGACTGAGCCACCACGTGTTCTGCTCCGACATCTGCTGTGGGTCGTGGAAGTCCAGCGGGAGCCTGAGCCACCATCTTGGGCTGCCAGTAGTGTGCGAGCCGCGGGCACGTGGTGATTGGTGGCCCCTCCACCTGCTGGTGTGCGTAGTGATGCCCTGGGGCTGCCGTCACCGCATTCCGCAGGCCAGGGGGCTTAGCTCAGCAGAAGCTGATCCCGGCGTAGATGTAGAGCTGGGAGTGTGAGATGAACAGATGAGGCTCCCTCCAGGAGCTCAGGGAGCGTCTTTCCTTCCCTTCACTGTCTACTGGGCATTGCCGGCAGTCCTGGTGCTCCTCGGCTCGGGGCGGCCTCCCTCCGGTACCCGCCTCGTGTCGCATGGCCTTCTCTGTGTGATGTCCTCACACAGTCTTCTCTGTGTGTGTCTGGCCCCAGTCTCCCCTTCTCATAACAACGCCAGTCGTATTGGCTTGGGGGCCACGCCACTGACCTCATCTTAACTCGATTATGTCTGCAGAGACCCTATTTCCAGACAAGATCACATTCTGGGCTAGAGGGGGATTAGGACTTGGATGGTGTCTTTTGGGGGCACAGTCAGCCCACAGCAGGGTGTATTCCACTGTAGTGTGAGGACAGGTTACAAGGCCGTGTTGTCCACAAGGCTGGCGTCCCTAGTCCTTCATGACCCTGTCTCCGGCCTCCTGCACATCCTGCTCCTACCCCTGCTGGTGTGAGATCTCAGGAAAGCCCCATGCTGCCAGGTCCTTAGTTTATTCATCTGTGAAAGGGGTGGTCAGAGCACCTGCTCAGGGGTGTTTGTAGGGAGTTAACGGGGTAAAATACCAGGCCCAAGGGAAGGGCTTGGAAAGTATTGGGAAATACGTATGAGTGGATCGGGAGATGCCAGTGAGAGTCTGAGGGCTGGACCCAGGAGCATAGGCAGTGTCCTCGTCAGTGACGAGAGGCCCTGAAGGGTTCTGCTGGGAAGAGCAGGGTGTGAGTGGTATTTTACAGGCATCCCTGCTTTTTTTCCTTTATGGGGGGAGATGAGCTGAGAGAGGGAGAGAAAGAATCCCAAGGAGAATCCTCACTCCTCGCCCAGCGCAGAGCCTGACATGGGGCTGGATCTCATGACCCCAAGATCACGACCTGAGCCAAAATCAAGAGTCCGATGCTTAACCGACTGAGCCACCCAGGCATCCCTAGGGGCACCCCCGCTTTAGGTGTGCAGGAGTGAAGGGGAGCAAGCTGAGGGCTTAGGGTGTGGAGGAGGGGGCACAGAGCCCAGAGGGGATGGCTGCTGTGGAGAGCTGGGGTGCCATGGAGGAGGGGAGGGGGCAGGGGTGCCGGGAAAGCTGACCGTGTAGGGAGAAGCAGGGCCATCCACGAGTGAAGGGAGTTCACGTGTTGAGGCCCTAACCGTAGCACGTCAGGATGTACCTGTATCCGGAGATGGGGCCGCGAGAGAGGCCGCCGGGTTAGAGGCGGCCATGTGGGTGGGCCCTAATCCAGTCTGCCGGGTTCCTTAGGAGGAGAGGAGCTCAGGATGCAGACGCATGGAGCGATGCCTGTGTGGATGTGGGGAGGGCGGCCGTCTACGCGGAGAGAGGCCTCAGACCACGCCCTGCTGACACCTTTATGCCAGACTTCCAGCCTCCAGACAGAAACATGTGCCTGTTGTTCAGGCCGCCAGCCTGGGGTGTTTTGCTGCGGCAGCCCCGGGACACTGACCGACACGCCAGGCAGGAGTCTGTGCGGGCACTCCCCACATGGATGTCTTCTCCAGAGTCCGCTGGGGCCCGAGGGAGGCGGGACCGGGCAGTCTGGCTGGCGAGGGTGACCGGGGGCTGCCACCTTGTCATGGGTGATGCGATCAGGTCATGTTTGCGCAGGAGCCCAGGAACAATGGGGTGCCTCGGGGGTCTCCTGGAGGAAGTGCATCAATGAAGCAACAATGTAAAAAGTGTCTTCTTTTGGAAGATCTTAAACCAGGGGGAATGAAATTCACAGTAAGGATGAATTCCCCAAGGCAAGAACAGTTCAGTTTTCTCCTCTCTGCCCCCTTGGGCGGCTCCTGAGCCATGTCCCGTTGCAGGATGAGGGTGCGGGAGGCCATGTGGCAGCAGTGAGCGCCCACGGGAGCTCCACGGCATACAGCCATGCATCCGTCAGCCCTCTGTGTGCATGGGAGCGTTTGGTGACTGGGAAGGCGTAGGCTGCACTTGGCCTCAACAGGGCACCACGTCATGCCCCAGTGAAACTGACCCTGGCCTGTCTTGGCCTCCTGACGATGCAGCCCCACAGCTGCCACTGAGAAGTTCCTGGAATCACAAGGAAACAAAGAATGTGTCCCTGTGGGAGGCAACGGGTGTTAACCTGGCCTATTGTGGTGATCGCTATATATATATACATATCAAGTCACTGTTCCGTGCACCTACAACTAATACAATGTCCTATGTCAATTATATCTCAGTAAAACTGGAAGAAAAAAAGAAATTCATCGAAATAGCAAAGGTCTGAAATTTCCATTAAGGAATTCGGTATATTACAAACTTGAAGGATAAAAGCCATCCAAAATGATTTAGTGAAGCTTTCTTTCTATGTTAGTTACTATGATTTAACAGCTGTACCCTTAAAAAGTACAGAGCCATGGCCGCCCACCCGCTCTGCTGGGCTCCGCACACCATTTCTTGCTGGCCTGGGTCAAGCTCTTCAATCGTGCTTTCAACCTGGGGATGATACGAACTGAAGGACAGGCTGATGTGTCAGATGACAGAGTCAAATAGAAGGTGGGCAGTGGATTAAATTTAACAGGGGTCAGGGAGAAAGCCTCCCCTACCACCCCGTATGTTTGGACGTATATACACAGAAACAGCATGGAAGAAATGGGCTCAAAACGAAGCAGCCTATTACGGCCACTGTTAGGAGTGTCTTAGTGGAAACCCCGTGTCTGAGGGAGGGAGTTCTATCACCTCTTTGCCATTCAACCGCTGTGGGGCTGGAGCCGGGTTCTGGACACGTTCTGGGGACTCCAGACACTTGTGCAAAATTCCAGGATGGCAGTTAGGGTGGGGAGAAGTCGTTTGAAAAGCAGCTGTGGGACTGCCTGTGTACCTCTGTGTGTGTGCACCTGTGTGCACCTGTGGGCATCTGTGTGCCGTGTGCACCTGTGTGTGTGCCTTGTGCACCTGTGGGCATCTGTGTGCCGTGTGCACCTGTGTGTGTGACTTGTGCACCTGCATGTGTGCCTGTGCACACCTGTGGGCATCTGTGTGCTGTGTGCACCTGTGTGTGTGCCTTGTGCTCCTGTGTGTGTTCCTGTGTGCACCTGTGGGCATCTGTGTGCTCTGTGCACCTGTGTGTGTGCCTTGTGCACCTGTGGGCATCTGTGTGCTGTGTGCCCCTGCGTTAGTGCCTGTGTGCACCTGTGGGCATCTGTGTGCCGTGTGCACCTGCGTGTGTGCCTGTGTGCACCTGTGGGCATCTGTGTGCCGTGTGCACCTGTGTGTGTGCCTTGTGCACCTGTGGGCATCTGTGTGCCGTGTGCACCTGCGTGTGTGCCTCTGCGCACCTGTGGGCATCTGTGTGCCGTGTGCACCTGCGTGTGTACCTTGTGCACCTGTGGGCATCTGTGTGCCTTGTGCACCTGCGTGTGTGCCTGTGTGCACCTGTGGGCATCTGTGTGCCGTGTGCACCTGCGTGTGTGCCTGTGTGCACCTGTGGGCATCTGTGTGC